ATGCTATCTTTATCATTACTGATTTTTAATAGATTTTAACATTTGGTAAGAAAATTCTCCTATCTAATTCTTCTCTAAGAGTACCCTTACTCGTAACCCTTTGCTCCTACATATAGCTTTTAGAATCAGCTTTTCAAGTTCTATGAAAAGTTCTGTTAGGATTGTGATTGACATTTTATTGAGTTTATATATTGATTTGGGGATTTTTGACATCTTTATTATATTGTCTTCTTATCCATTGACTTGGAATATTGTTGAATTCATGCAAGTCTCCATTCCTGTCCTTCAGTAAATGTTTTTGCTCTTGGACACCATGCTTTACATAAGCTGAGTCATTTAATATAGGGTGTAAGAGCCAACACAATACTTTAAAACAGTGCTTTCCAGCCCAAACTATGCCTTTTATCAAGGTGATAATGTACATGCTCTGTTGCAGCTCTCAGGAATGGGTGGGAGAGAACAGCAGCAGAAGAGGGAGCCTCCAGGGCTCTACCACAGTCTCCAAAGTCAACCAGACAAGCATTGTCAAGGATGTGCCACAAAAGGAGCTCTTGCTGGGAAACACAGCATTGGAAAAACCATTTTGGAAACCATTTGGCATTATGTAAAATTGTTGGAGTCTTTTCTGACTATCAACCAGCAATTCTACTCTGATATTTATTCTTACTAAATAAAGTCTAGACTTGCACTGTCCAACATGGTGGTTACTAGCCACTTACGGCTATTTAAATATAGGTATAAATTAATTAAAATTAAATGAAATTTAAAAATTCCGTTCCTCAGTTATACTATCCACATTAAAATGCTCAATATCCACATGCAGTTTCAGTGGCTGCTGCATCGAACAACTTCAAGGATATTTCTTTTAGAACAGAATGTTCTATTGGATTGCATTGCCTACAGACTCTCTTAAACAGAAAATAACAGTAAAATTATTCACTGTAGTGCTGTATATAATGCAAATAAGGAAACAAAGTCTCTATCAAAGTATAATGTACAAATAAATTTTTATATATTTATAAAGTTGACAACCATTCAGTGGAAAATCAATGAATTCAGCTACACACATCAACTTGTGTGCATTGGAAAAATCCTGTTGAGTGCAAAAAAGTAAGTCTTGGAAGAAAACATGTAGCATGATTCAATTTATATATAGGTTAAACGGACAAAACCTATCATACAGCTTGTTAAATTTTTTAAATTATCACACCTGGTCTTGAGAAGGCAGCAGGAGCAATGTAATGCTTCTGTAGTGGAATCCAAGGTAGAGAGGCTTCCAAGAATCTGGAGTCATGTTCAAAGCCCTCCTGAATTCATTGTCTCTTTTTATTCAGGAGAACTTTATTGGTTGCATATTCAGGGGGTGCAGTACTCACAGGGAATAGCAGAATTCATCAGGATGCTGTTCAGTGGCTCTGATCATGTCTGGATCCCAGATCCCTTTGATAGCTCAATGAAATTCAATGTTAGATCCTTCAAGTTTGTACAGTTATGGAACTGGTTTCAAAAATTGGCCCAGAACTTTGCAAATCAGAGGTTCTGGAGCATTTTCCAGTGGGGTCGAAAGACATAATGTATAATTAATATTTTGCTTTCCACATGTATGGGTTCTTTTTAAAACATTTAAACATAGCTTTGACATCTTTGGCTCACAAAACTGTAATCCCCATCCACTCTGAATGAACTGTAAAACATTCCAAATGAGAAGGATGCAAAATAATGAGATAAGTGTGAAAGAACAGAATGAATTGCATCCAGAAAGATCAAAATAGGGATAGGAATGTGAAGACATTTGGACCTTTTAGAGTCAGATGAGAGTCATCAGAAGGCTGGGCGCGGTGGCTCAAGCCTGTAATCCCAGCGCTTTGGGAGGCAGAGGCGGGTGGATCATGAGGTCAAGAGATCGAGACCATCCTGGTCAACATGGTGAAACCCTGTCTCTACTAAAAATACAAAAAATTAGCTGGGCATGGTGGCATGTGTCTGTAATCCCAGCTACTCAGGAGGCTAAGGCAGGAGAATTGCCTGAACCCAGGAGGTGGACGTTGCAGTGAGCCAAGATCGTGCCATTGAACTCCAGCCTGGGTAACAAGAGCGAAACTCTGCCTCAAAAAAAAAAAAAAAAAAAAAAGAGTCATCAGAAAAAGCTTCTAGAGAAAAACATGGCATAAAGAGACTCTGTGACTAAGATGTGAGGTGTCCCAGGCCTAGAAGAAGGAGGGAGAGTATGTCCCCTTCTTCCAAGCATGAAGCCAACCTCTTTCCTTGTCCACCCAGCACAGGTGTGGGTTTAAGAACCTTCACCGAGCATGCATCTCATGATATTCTGATATCTTGCGATATCTGATATATGGCTATAGTCATTTTCCTATGGCTATAGTCATTTCCCCACTGTATCTCTTAATCATCCCCAAAGATAAACATGGATCCAAATATTTAACCCTTTAGTTTTTCTAACACCAAGTATAGGTAAGCCACTGAAGTCTCAGTTAACGTTTTTATGCCCAAGAGCGTCAAGAACTAGAACTCTGCAATGTGGGATGTATGTCTCTCCCTATGACCTTTGAAATCAGTGTGCTCAGAGGTTATATGTGCCTCCACTTACACAGCTGTCCTGTGGCAGTTACACACACATGCCTGACATTCAGAGTTTTGGAGTGTGCGTTGACATCTGTGTGTGTATAAAGATAAATGGGTGCTTACTTGGATGCAAGACATGATACAAGGCATTGTTGGTATGCTGTCAGGAACCTCATGTTAAAACAAACCATCCGAGGGAAGGCTTCTGGCCCTTGGACTCACTCACTTGTGGGACTATTCAGGATATAATCTGTCTCCAGTCTACAGTTGTCTTTTCACTACGGGAGCAAAAGTTTGAATCAAAATCGAACATTAAACCAAAATCAACAGCTATTAAACAAATGGACAATTAATAGCTACTAAACAAAATATGGTTCTTTCTATGGTGATAAAAAAATGGCTGTAACACTGTACATTTTAGGAGGAAAAAGAATCAGAAGATGACTAGAAACCTAAGGGAGCCTGGAGGAAAAGCCAAGTGGAAACATTGTAGCTAATCAATTAGAATCAACATAGGAAAATTTAAGATAGAAACTGAGAAAGCATTCCAGTGAACTGAGTATCTCCACAGAGCCCTCTGAACAGCACAGGATGTATCAGTAATGGAACAGGGTGCGCACTGGGCAAGTCAGAAAGATACCAGTACTACCACCTCAGGGGGAGAAACATCCCCTGGGGTTGTCCACAGGGCCACTCTGGCTGTACCACGGCTGCTACTGTCACTAGTTAGGGTGGAAAATGTGATGAACCTGATTTGTCTTTCCTAATCTGTACACACAATCAACTATACCATTAAAAAATTTTTAGGACCAAGGCATTTGGCATTTTTTGTGTGCCTGGTAATGTTTGCGAAGTGTATTAGTCAGAGTTCTCTAGAGGGACAGAGATTTGACTCAACGTCCACACACACACACACACACACACACACACACACACACACACACATATATATGGGAGTTTATTAAGTATTAACTCACACGATCACAAGGTCCCACAATAGGCTGTGCACAAGCTGAGGAGCAAGGAGAGCCAGTCCAAGTCTCAAAATTGAAGAACTTGGAATCTGATGTTTGAGAGCAGGAAGCATCCAGCACAGGACAAAAATGTAGGCTGGGTGGTTAGGCCAGTCTAGTCTTTTCACATTTTTCTGCCTGCTTTATATTCTAGCCTCACTGGTGGCTGATTAGATGATGCCCACCCAGATTAAGGGTGGGTCTGCCTTCCCCAGCCCACTGACTCAAATGTCAATCTTCTTTGGCAACACCCTCACAGACAAACCCAGGATCAATATTTTGCATCTTGCAATCCAATCAAGTTGACAATCAGTATTAACCATCACACCAAGCTTTTGCTGGAGCCTCTAGATGACAATTCTGATTGAGTCAGAAGGACGAATTTGGCAGAGATGCTGGTCATATTAAGAATTCTTTGCACAGGTGGAGGACCTGAGGTACACATCCAGCTGCAAACTGCTGTCTGCCTCCTGCCTCCAGGCTGATCTGGGGATGGGTTGGCCTCTCACCATTATTGCCCATGCCCTAGTCTGGTGAAATATAAGTGGTTTAAAGGTGTGAACTGTTTTCTTTTTCATCAGAATCAGACTGCCTTGGTTCAAACAGTGGCTCCATCATCTTACAACTTTTTGGCCTCTGGCAATCTATGGAACCTTACTGACCCATATATGTGATGGAGATAGTGATAGGGTTATTGCAGGAGCATGCTAGACGATAGACGTAAAGCACTCAGTACAATGCCTGATTGTAGGAACATCTACTAAATTTTAGTTGCCACTATAATTAAGGACTTGCCCTATTTTTCAAATGCCATTTTAGCCAGATCAAATAGGTAGGAAAGAGACTATGGATCATAAAGTTTATACTTTCTTGTTTCTAAAAATGAATGCTTGGAAAAATTTATATAAATTCATTTATAGCTGAATGAAAGTTTGGACATTTGATCTGTCTTCAGAAGTATTTATTTGAGGATGTAGGCCCTACCACTCAAATTGATATGTATCACCACTGATGTGCATTATGTTGCTTCTTATACCTATTAACTGATGTGCATTATGTTGCTTCTTATACCTATTATATGTATGTGTGAAACTAAGCCTATAAAAACGGAATTTAGACATTCCTGCTGAAAGGAAGTGAATCAAAGGGAAGAGAAGCAGAGCCTTCGCAAGGAGAAAATTGTCCTATCTTTCAACCAGTGTCAGAATGTGAAAATGTTTACAAAATGCTCATTAAAAGAAATAGGGATTACAAGATAGAAACAAATTCTGGTGCACAAGTTTACACTAGGGAGATAAGAAAGGCTAGGCCCCTATAGGGGATTTTGTTATCCAATTACTGCAACCTGACTTTTAGGGGGAGAGGAAGAGTGGTAGGGGGAGGAAGAGAGAGAGGAAGAGTTTCCAAACTTGTCTCCAGTGACAGGAGACAATTACGCCCCACAAGATAAAACTGCCACTTAGAGCCCAGGAGAGCTAAACCTTCCTGGCTTGGCCTAGGGGCTTGAGCGGAGTCATGGGCTCTCCGGTCCTGACACTGTGCACTCTTCTCTGCCTGGTGGCTCACTTGGTTTCTGGCAGCCCCATCATGAGCCTAGACCAGTCTCCTCTAGAAGAAGATGTGCCCCTCTTTGATGATGTTTTCTCAGAGCAAGATGGTGTTGACTTTAGCACATTGCTCCAGAGCATGAAGAATGAGTTTCTCAAGACACTAAACCTGTCTGACATCCCCACGGAGGATTCAGCCAAGGTAGACCCACCAGAGTACATGCTGGAACTCTATAACAAATTTGCAACAGATCGAACCTCCATGCCCTCTGCCAACATCATTAGGAGTTTCAAGAATGAAGGTAAGTTTTTGCTGATGAAATTTGGCTTGGAATTTTTTCAAGACACAATAAGTAAATTTACAATGCCTGGGAATGATATAGGTAAAGGTAAATACATCTATATAAGGATGTTAAATACATATGGATACACAAAAACAAGGTACGATTTGGTCTATACTATTTATGCAGTCATTTCAGAACCTCAAAAATACTTACAAACATCTTTTACAAACAACCCAAAGCCACAAAACACCTATCAATTTGACATTATAATTGGGTTCTTTTAAAAAATGTTAATTTGAACACCAAGTAATACAAAGCATTAATGTTGCCGTATCTTTGCCATTTTCCAGATAGGCCTTGGTTGCCTAGGTGTTTAATTAACTAAAAAATTTCTCAACTTCCACTTAGAATAAAAAGAATAAAAACAGTCAAAAAACATCAAGTTGTGATGTGTGTTTTGTTCAAACTTTTGATGTTTTTATTTTGTGATGTTGTTTAAGAAATGTTCAAACAGTATGGAAATATATTTTAGAGATTCTTCCTAAGGCTGTGTTGTTTGATGTGTCATGTACATCCTTAAAGCACTGTTTACAGTTTCCAGGAAGTGTGATTGGCCCATTAATCATCCAGCTCATCATTTCCATCTTCATGAAGAGTGATGTACAAGATTGAATTATTGGTGAGAAAAGTGTGTTTTCTTCTCCTAGGTGTTTAAATTTGGTAGCTAAATCTAATGAGTTAATTTTTTTTCTTAATAGCTTAATTTGATCCTATCAGGGGAAAGAAAATCCTGATATCTAGATACCTATGATAGAAGCTGAAGGTCCAAATAACTAATTCTTTAATATTTGCCAATTATACCATTATAGTCACTAACCAGGTACAAAAGAGGCTTCTGATTAATATTGGCCAGATGTTCTTGAAAGAAGAAAGGCAGTGGTGAAGAAACAGCTCAGGATATGGAATTTTGAGAGCTGGTTGGCTTAGTGGTTGTGAATAATTAGCTCATGTCTCAGACTCTCAATTTCCTCATCTGTAAAGCGGGGGTAATAATACCTGCATAAAAAAGTTGAGTGATTCAAAAGAGGTTACAGGTAAGAAAGTACTCCATTTGCTATGAAGTGCTGATCAAACTTCAGTGATTACTAATGAGTTACTTAATATTCTAGCTGCTGGAATAAATGCTGAGTGGGTATTCCTTAGTCCCTAAGATGTTGTTTGCCTTTAAAATTGAGTTGGCCGCCAAAAGTTCTATTTCATAACATCTTTCTCATGGAAATGGCAAGCTGAGATTACAGATTCCTTTTGGAGGTGAGTCTGAATTGAAAATGAATAACCTCCTCCTGTGAGAATCCCCCCCACCCCAATACTTCTCAAAACTGAGCCCTAAGTGTCTGGTTCAGGTGAACTAGGGTATGGGTGAGAAAATGTTATTTGCATCCCCAGAAAAGTAGAAAAGTTTTCAGTTCCTACTTCTCTCAAAGAGTATCTGGATAACTCAGGTCAGTATCTGGAGTTTACTGTACTTATTAATCCTGGAGATTATTGAGGGCAGGAACACATCTCCAGTAAACAACTGTGCAGCCTGAGGACAGAAATCACTGCACAGGGCATGCCTTGCTAGCTACTATTGCCTCTTTTCTGACTCTTTGGGTCTGCTTAATGCAGCTCCCTAGGAGACAAAGACAAAAAAAAAAAAAAGTCAAAACCTATCTCATCTTGGGAAAAAAGTGCCACCTCCAATGTGAAAAAAGCATGCCCTCAATTCCTAGCACTGTTCCTTTATCACCTTGTCATCTGGGGAAGTCAGTTCTCTGCATCAGGGCTTGATTTCTTCTGGTGCAAAATGGGTAGAGAATCAATACCTGCATTGTGGGGTCATTGTGAGAACCAGAGAAGATCATGCTTGCAAAGCACCTGGCATGAGAAATTTGTCAACAAACATTAGTTCTCTTGCCCTGAAATGTAACTCTTCCATTTACTGCTTACTGCATTTGCACATTCACAAAACTTCCCAGTGAACTTACTTTTTCAAAACAGTTTTATTGAGGCATAATTTACTTATAGAAAATAAGACATATAAAAATATTGATGTATAAAAGTATAATTGTACATATTTAAAGTGTATAATTGGAAAGGTTTTGACCTCTGTAAACATTCATTGAAATCATCAGCACAATCAAGATCATGAATTTATCCATTAGCACCAAAAGCTTCCTTGTATGCTTTACTGCCTTCCTCCTACTACAGTGAGCTTTTATTCTATACTTCTCTCCTGGGTAGAACAACCAGCCTATTCCTCCATTTTGGGTCTTCTCATGTTCCCTGTCCATGGGGAGACAAGTCTCCTCCCTTCTTAGACTGGGAGAATAAATCCTAAGCCACTGACTTAAGAGCTTGATGATGGATTAAGGTCATATGTCATGCCCATAAATCAATTTAATCTGATGCCTAAAATCATCAGCTAATCAATATTTTTAAAGCACTACCTCTGTTTAAGCCCTTATAGTAGGATAGAGACATAGAAGGGAGTTTTGAGCCATTCATACCAGGAGGATGGGAGTCTAGTTGGGAAAATCCATTCATAAAAAGATGACTGAAATACAAGGTTGTAAATGACAAGGATCAAAGGAGATATAAAGTGCTCAAGTGATTCAGAGGGGAGGGAGGGAACTTTCAGAAAGAGAAGTAAGGAAGGGAGGCTTTTATAGATGTCAGAGTTGGATAGGTGGAGGTGAGGTGAAAGGGCTTTCCAAGGGTCAGAAGAACATGTGAAAAGGTGAAAATTACAGGGGAAAAAAGAATGTTTGACAGGTGGTAAAGATGTCAATGTAGTTGAAACAGAAGGGTTTACAAATCCATTCAATTGTTCACAAATATTATTGAGTGATCACAATGTTCCATGCATTTATGGAAGCCATGGCTGATCTGGAGGCTAAGACCCAGATATAGCTGACCTTGAGAGCCATGCCAGGGAGTTTAAATTCATTCAGTAGGTTAGCATTTCCCACTGACAATGTGTAAGATGATTTTAGGTGGTACCCATAGAAAGCTATTAATTATGTGAAATCATTTCATGTGGATTTTAGCAAACACACATAAGTATCACCTCAAATCTCTCCTTTTATGAATGATGTTGCTTAGGATAAGTCTAAAATAGATAATAAGTGCAAAATAATCAGAGCAAGTTAAAGGAAAATATTAAAAGATTATAATCTGCAACAGGGACTCACTGAGATCATGAATTAAGTATATACTTGGTGAAATGCTGCCAAAGATGACAGAGAATTTCTAAATTGGTGGTCCTTAGCATCTTTGGTGCTGTGGATCCCTTTGAGAATCTGATGGCAAATGCCTTCAGGGCTTCCTTATATGCTCATTACCTGAGACAAGTATGCAGAAGCTTTGGGCTCACTGTAACTTCAGATAGGAAGTCAACATGACAGTATTTGGAGGTATGCTTCCAAGACTAAGATTAGAAGTGTGCTTCTAAGACTTTTACAGAGTTGTTTCATAAACATTCTTGAGTGAGTTGTATGTACCATACTTCATGCCAGGTGCTAGGGGTATAAGAGTAGTGCTAGGGGTATAAGACTAAGGCAACCACTCTAGTTCCAGGATTCATTTTCTCCCATTCCTCTTTACAGAGGACCATATACTCAAAATCGACTGCTGTGACCTTCTTGGTTTATGGCTGTCTTATTGACCTTGTCAGGTTTTGTTGCTGAGAACAGAAGTCAGCAAGCTTATTCTGTAAAGGGTCAGACAGATAATAACTATTTTAAGCTTTGAAGGCCATATGCTCTCTGTTGTGACTATTGAACTCTGCCATTGTAGTGCAAAAGTAGCCATAGACAATACAAAAACAATGTATGAGGCTGTGTTCCAATAAAACTTTACCCAAAAGCAGGTACCAGGCTAATTTTGGCCCATAGGCTATAAGTTACCAAACTCTGATACATATGGAAGCCTTTTAGGAAGACCAGTGCCCAGCTAACTATGTAGGGATCTCCACCCACTACAAACACAAAAATTAAAACACCATGGGGTCCTCATCCCTGACAAGAAAAGAACAATCACCACATGTCCCATTTGGTGGCTCTTTGTTGGTTAGGAAATTTGGGGACTTGCCCACACAATTTCCAAGGTCCCTCTCAGTTCTGTAATTCTGTGGCTGATGAGCTACTCAAAAGCAAGGCTGGCTAAGTTTTATCCCATCCATTAGACCCATACTTTCCATTTTAGTCTTGGCAGCTGAACTCTTTTGGGCATTCTACCACCAACCTTCTGGGATTTCCTGTGTCACAGAATGTTGACATTGTGTTTGTTCTCATTGATCTTCTCCCTTCATTCTTTCTGCATTAAGCTTAATGCATGGGAAGGCCTTCTTATTACATAAATAAGCATCTGTTTTTCTCTGAGACCCACTGCAAATCTGATTTTTGCAAATTTCTTTTTTTCAGATCTGTTTTCCCAACCAGCCAGTTTTAATGGGCTCCGAAAATATCCTCTCCTCTTCAATGTGTCCATTCCTCATCATGAAGAGGTCATCATGGCTGAACTTAGGCTGTACACACTGGTACAAAGGGATCGTATGATATACAATGTTGTAGACCAAAGAATTACCATCTTTGAAGTGCTGGAGAGCAAAGGGGATAATGAGGGAGATAGAAACATGCTGGTCTTGGTGTCAGAGGAGATCTATGGAACCAACAGTGAGTGGGAGACATTTGATGTCACAGATGCCATCAGAGGTTGGCAAAAGTCAGGCTCATCCACCCACCAGCTGGAGGTCCGCATTGAGAGCAAACATGGTGAAGCTGAGGATGCCAGCAATGGACGGCTGGAAATAGACACCAGCGCCCAGAATAAGCATAACCCTTTGCTCATCGTGTTTTCAGATGACCAAAGCAGTGACAAGCAGAGGAAAGAGGAACTGAATGAAATGATTTCCCATGAGCAACTTCAAGAGCTGGACAACTTGGGCCTGGATGACTATTCCAGTGGACCTGGGGAAGAGGCTTTGTTGCAGATGAGATCCAACATCATCTACGACTCCACTGCCCGAATCAGAAGAAATGCCAAAGGAAACTACTGCAAGAGAACCCCGCTCTACATCGACTTCAAGGAGATTGGGTGGGACTCCTGGATCATTGCTCCACCCGGATACGAAGCCTATGAATGTCGTGGTGTTTGTAACTACCCCCTGGCAGAGCATCTCACACCCACAAAGCATGCAATTATCCAGGCCTTGGTCCATCTCAAGAATTCCCAGAAAGCCTCCAAAGTCTGCTGTGTGCCCACAAAGCTAGAGCCCATCTCCATCCTCTATTTAGACAAAGGCGTCGTCACCTACAAGTTTAAATACGAAGGCATGGCCGTCGCCGAATGTGGCTGTAGATAGAAGAGGAATCCTGTGGCTTATTTAATAACTGTAAATGTGTATATTTGGTGTTCCTATTTAATAAGATTATTTAATAAGGGTGTACAGTACTAGAGGCTTGCTGTCTTCCAGAAATGGACAGGTCAGTATGTTGTAGGAAATGCATATTTTGCTTTATAGTTAAGTCCCTTTCGATCTGTTTTCTCTTTGGACTTGCCATTTCCTGGCAATGCCACCTCCATGTTGATTCGAAAACAACCCCAAGGCAAAATACAGTATCAAAAGATACATACTTGTGTGTGTATATGAGTACATACATGAACTTATGAACATCTTTTGGTTCTGTGCAAGCAGATTATACTCACCTACATGCATGACCCACTCAAATGTGTGTATATTAAAGGCCAATGGCATGTTCTCTGTTACCTCTTCTCTGAGTAGGATTTATGTCAAGATAATATGCATCAGGGATTTAATCATCCTTGGAAGTATTATACTTCCTAAATACTCTAGAAATGTAAGTGTAGCTTTTGTCACTTGAGTTTCTGTGGTTGCTCAGAGACGCAGGGACTGGCAAAGGATGTTTGAAGGGAAGGGTTAATTGATGTAGGAACCAAAGGGACTCAAGAGGTCTTGAAGGTACAACAGGAAAAATGAGCCCATTGGGGACCAATGTGCCCCAGAAGGCAGCTCCTGGCCAAGGAAGGAAAACAGAAGAAACTGCATGAAATATGCTCCTGAGACAATAGGAAAGTAAGGTCATGTGTACTGGCCATTGCTGCTGCAGAGGATAGAGGGGTCCCGAGGGCACCTGAAGGAAAGAAAGGAAGAAAGGGAAGAGGATATTGATGCTATCTTCAGAGGCTATCCCTAGATGTGTCTGTAACATCATAAACGATTTTATTTAAAGAATTAAATATTTTGGACAAAATAAAACTACCAAAGACTAAGAGGAGATAAATTAGAAGGGACCTGTCTGTTGGAAGAAGGGATGTTAATATCTTTCTTCACCTGTTAACGCTGTTCCCTGTCCTCGCATCCCTGCTTTTCTCTCTACTCCATCCTCTTCCTTCCCTCTTTCTTCTTTGCCCTAGTGCCTCATGTCTTCCTCCCATGCCTGTGTCCCACTCTTCCCTGGCCTTCATTACACATGCTGTGAGCTGCAAAGGGGCACCTAAATGCCTTCGCTGTCAGAGTGAAAGGAGTTCGTGTTTTAATTTCTAAATCTTCCTCTGATATTTAATTTGATTTTATTTTAATAATATCCTTTGTCAAATGTTTTGTTCATGAAGAATACTTATATATAAGAAAAAAGAAAACCAGAATAAGTAAGTATAAGAAAAAGAAAACCAGAGTCCAAATGAATGGATGAAAAAATAAACAAAAAAATAAATGGATTTATGAGTAGACGCACAACCAAATGACTTAAAAGCTAAGGCTGAATTTTGAAATAATGTTTGCTTCATGGTAGAAACCCAGTAACGTTCCCATCTTCTCATTTTACCATCGTCCCATTTTGCAACTGGCCAGGACTGAAAGTATTGGGGAAGTGTTCTGGACAGGAAGAGTCTGGTGGGTTTTCCTGGCAGGTGACAGGCTCCAGTCTTAACCTCCACCATTTCCCTCTACCCGGCAAGCGGACCCTGGGCTTTGTGCAGGAGGAGCCAGAGCAGAGCAGTTTCCAAACCATTCCAGCATCTCCAGGCAGGGAATGTTGATGGTTCATGTTAGAACCAGGAATGTGGTTTCCAGGACATCACCCCCCATTCATCCCTGCTCATCTTAAGGAATGTTTCCTTAAAAAGTCTGGCACCTCTCTTTTTTTTGGACCCTGGAAAACAATCAGCCCCTTTTGCAAATCTCTTAAGGTTATAAACACAAACTGCACTAGACAATAGAGACAAGGAAAACTATTTGGAAGAACTTTTGCCCAATTTGAACCTCAGCTTTCTAGATCTATTGTCCACTGAGTGAATCCTGGGGAATTCGTTGTTCCTGGAAGAGTGATATTTTGACCATCAGTGGGTATTCAGTGATTGATACCTTGAGAAAGTCATGATACTTTGAGAAAGTCAATCACTATTTGTGGAATAGACTCCATATAACATAATGTGTGTGTGTTTGTGTGTGTGATATATAGCTGGCTTTGGACAGCCACACTTAGTGCCCTCAGTGGAATGTGGTACATCCTTAATACTCCATGGTACACAATGTATACTCACATACTCCAAGGTACTTCTTATCCTTCCTAAAGGATACTGTAATAGATACACAGTAAAACCTCAGCTGACCAGGATAGTCCTGGTTAGATAAAAATTAAGCAAAATTTTCTTTATGTCTAATACATATGACAGTAGTGTACTGGTAAATGCCTTTCAACCAGCAATCCAGGGTGGGAAAAAGCCCCGATTTGTGGATTTCAATGCTGTAAATGCTCTTACTATAGTCTATCTTGAGCTACCAATGTGATGTCAACTGGCTTGCAAAATGAAAACTTAAGTCAGCTCTTGGGGGCTGTGCACTGGTGCTGACACACCGCTGACATTTAGTATCCCACTGACATTAGCACACCGCTAACATTAGCACCCTGATACTAGAATGTTAAGGATGTGCCAGCCCTGCTTTCCACTATGTGCGCTGCTGGCTCTGGGCTTCTGGAGCAATCTTGTCTCGAGCACTTATAGTCACTCTTCTGTTAAAGAGATACGAAAATATGGGCTGTTGGCGATGAGGCTTCGTAGCCCAGTTGTCTCTCTTTTTTCCCATCCAGATGTAAACCAGCATTTTTATTATTGTCTGCTTCCCTGTGGAAAGGAAGTACAGAGAGCAACATATTGGTTATTCAAATGTTGCTAGCTGCATTTTTTTTTGGCTTTCCTTTTATCAGAAAGTGCAAAGACACAGCCCATAGAGGAATTCTCCCAGCTCCCACGGGGGTCCCTGGCTGCATACCTGCATCACTTCCAACTCACTGCATTGACAGGAAGCCAGAATATCGTCAGATCCTTAAAAGGGTAGAACCTTACTAATGTTTCTCTTGTCATAGACTTTCTGCTGGGTCCCATGCCAATCTTTTTTTTTTTTTTTTTAACCATTTTATGGCAGAATTATTATTACCAAAGTTGATATATCTCAACAACTCTAAAAGGGAATTATAGCAGAGGGACCTGGGCAGCCCACAGACAAAATATTCATGTAAGAGTTTCTAGGCTTCCCACTATTTATTGATTGATATATTTATTGTTGTAATATATTGTAGAATACCAAATATTTTATTTTTATGTCTGTGATTCCCTTTTGGATAGAGAGTCTTCTGGCTTCAGAGTATGGCTTACGTATAATATATGGTCTGTATTTCCATATCTCTTTTTTTGCATCAGAATGTTCTGTTGATTTAAGGTATCTTGCCATAGCTTGCCATAATTTCGTGTATTTGTGTCCTGCAGGCATGCTGTGCCTACAAGCATGCTTTGTAGTTTATTTTCTGATTTGTAAATGGTACAATTTTAACTGAAGTGTAGACATTCCAGCAAATATTTAATCAATACATTGTCATGAATTTCCATCAAGTGATGTTGTCAGTTTATCACAAGAGGCAAATATTGTCAGGTTGTGAGAAAATATGATTGCTACTCAGTAAATGGAAATACCATTTAAATGAATCTTTTTATCCCCCAAAGCTGGCACTTCCCCTCTGAATTTACCTATTGCCTTCACTAACCCAGAAATTCAAGACATAATTGGTCAAATTCATTTGTAATTGGATCGATTACTTTGTAAATGTCAAAAATGCTAGCTTAATGAACTCTAAAAGAGTTTGCCCCAAAGTGCCTGATTCTTTCCTGATGCATTAATTTTGGTCTGGGATATTAATAACAAAAACTTTATTTTATTTTAGAACTGTTACTAAATGTTTCAGTATTTGTTATGATTTATATTCTTCAAGTAAAAGATATTTTCATATAAGAGAATTTTATGTATTACATCTTAATTCATCAACAAACTATAAAGCCAGCAGGGTTTTGGCCAACCCTTTTTAACTTGTCTGGAACACAGAAGGGATGTTGCCCTTTTGAAGGACTGTAGATCTTTTCAGAGTCGCTATGGGCCATTCTCAACCCTTTGCAGTTCTGCAAGCTCGCGTGTGGTGCAAGAGGAAATGCTGCTATGACTCTGTGCATTTCCTTGCCCCTAGACAAGAACAGTTGATTTCATACATTAAATGGAAGGTAAACATGACTATGCAAGAGAAGCATACAGGGGTGTTTCTGCATGTGGACATATTTTTCATTAGTTAAAAACCCCTCATGGAATAACTGTTTGTTATGATTAGCATGTTTTTATCACGCACGAGCACTGGTTTTGTAAGCACCTGGCTTAATGGTAGTGGGGCGGCCAATGTGCCAGTGCCCGCTGACTGAGCATTCATGAACGTTGGAAATCCGGGAACACCACCGACACACCGAATCAGCTGACGCACGTTCATGTTCTTGGATAAAACCTGTTCATTATCTATGTCCAGATTTGTATAGTTATCACCAGACTAAAATGAAGATGGAAATAAATATTTTACCCTGTGTTCATAAACCAAATGTGTACAGAGTCTTTTCAAATAAAAAAAATATTTTGATGATAGTTATTTGCAGCTTATTTTGCCTTGAGGTGAAATATTGAGTTTTGCACATACCCCTCTTTCTCATTTTTCTACTTGATAACATACCCAGATGGAATAAAACTAATTGCTATATTAATAGAGAATGGTCCAAAGAAACCATAAGTTGTTTTGAGCTTGTAAGTGACCTCCGTAGAGAGTGGGATTTTGTTGTTCCGTTGTTCTCCCACTTTATATGACTTTGTGTAATTCCCATTAATGCCACAGGCATTCATAGAAAGTACAACTGGCTCCCCTTTGTCAGTAGCTGGGAAATATTTCTTCTTTGAATAAATACCAAATGAGTCAGATTAAATGCAACAGTCCTGGCCAACAGGCAGACTCTGCCCCTTGTCGAAGAAGGAGATTCATTCTTATGGCAGAATGTGGAATTTGAAGGGCACAGGGACAGCCCCAGGTAGAATAAAATTTCTTCCATCAGAAAATCATCCTGCATCTCTTTTTTGAGGGGAAGTCTCACATGTCTCAGCTGGCAGGCTGAATCTGGCAAGTGCATCAGAGGGGAGCACAGCCTTCGTCCCTGGATGAGCTCTGTTAAGGTGAGACAGGGTTCTAGCCATGGAGGAAAGGGAGCTGAGAGCCCAAGATGGGGTTGAGCCCGGGGATGGTCTACACAGGCCTGAAAAGCCACTCCTGTAACTTGATTTTGAATTCTTTAGCAACCTATTCATTCTCTTCTTTAAATAAGTTAATTTATAAAAGTTTGTCACAGTGTGGAGTCTGGAACCATTCCTTGCAATTGGTTTGACCTGAGCACAGCTATGCTGGACCAGCCACCTTGTACTTGGATTTCTTTCCCACTGATACAGCTGAAATTGCAGTGGGCAGACACAGAGCTGCAAGTTATTTGGGGGGTAGCTTGTTTACAAAGTAAGACAAACAACTATCTTCAAAGCACAAATTATACACTTGTAATGTTACAGGTTCTAATAGTAATCTTAATGCAAATTGAGCTTTGTGGTATGGGGAAATCATGCCATGAGACTGCTGCATGTGACTCCAGTCACATGAACAAGAACTCACTTTTATGTAGAAGTGACTATGAACGAGAATCCACTTTCATATAACAGTGACTATTTGTAAATAAGGGGCCTATTTGAAGAAGGTGAGAGCTTGTTAACTTGGGTGGTTATAAATGGATTATGTGATTACCACCAACTCACTCTCCTGAACTGTCAGTTTACAAGAAACAGTTCCCGCTCTCTCTCTTAACCTTCCTCGGACTTCACACAGATCTAAAGTAGCTCATCTCATTCCAAGAAGAAAGCCCAGAAAGACGTGGAAACTTCAATACATTTTTACTCTTAAATGTGATTCTGAGAATCTTATAAAAAATTTAGGACACTCAGTTCAAAGTAAGATTGATGGGAGGTGTGAAGTACCATTGTCAACTCAAGATTTGCTAGAAAGATTTCACACACAAAACACTGACCCCACTTCCTTGAATAACATGGGAATGGTTTTAGAAAATTTAGTTCTAGCTCCTTATTAGTATCTCTGCCTAAAATGTATAACATAACCTTACTAATTATGAGAAAACATCAGATAAACCTATTTTAAGAAGATTCTGCACTCTTAAAAAGTCAAAGGCAAAGAAAGATTGGGAAACTCTTATAGATTAAAAGAGACTAAAGAATCATAACTAAGTGCAGCATGTGCCTCTGAGTTGGATTCGAGACCCCTCCAAAAACTGGCAAAAAGCACATTATCTTTTGTTAAGTTCATTGCTGCCACAGCTGGTAGAGAGTCCAACTTCATCCATTGTTTACTCTCAAATGACATTAATTTGTAAAAGTCTTCTGCATGGTTATTGCCCTTTTTCTGAAGCTGTGAGAAGCTGTACAGGAGTAACAAGGCTTTTGCTCAATGCAATGTCCAAGAAGCAGGTAGACAGCGTTAGAAATGAAACCTTTCTTTGCCTAGTAGCCAAACTCAATGCAAGGAACAGAGCTGAGGGGAAAGTGCTCATCACATGGCAAACCTGATGTTAATAAATGAGCTGCAACCAAACATTTTCCTGAAATAACCAAGCACAACATGCTTTTCAGGCAATAAGCCATCTGTTTCAAGTATTTAGAAAATGGAACTCCAATCACTGGTAATTTGAACTTCCTTATACCCCAGTTCAATGTTTGATAAGGCAAGAGTGCGAACAGCATGGGAACTGAGTTACTATATTAAGAAATGCAGCAAGAACAAAAACCAGCCCCCTGCAGTTATTTTGTTTATATCCGGACCCATCTGTTTTAATTAACATAATATTTACATGAGACCAGCTCCTGTTACGTCTTTTGCTACAAATGTCACATGTTTTATTCTTTGTTGTTGTTGTTCTTGCTTTTAAAAGAGATCCTGCAAAAGCACAGTTGCAGACTGTGCCTGAATGAGGTGTACACAGTAAAATTACACCTGCATTCTAGCTCCTAAGGGCCAGGCTCACCCACTTTGTACAGTTTGGGGTCAGATACCAGGTTGCCAGATGAAATACAGGATGCCCAATTAAATGTGAATCTAAGATCAAACCATGAGTAGTTTGTTTAGTAAAAGTCTGCCTCAAATATTGTACAGGACATACTTACACTAAGTAATGTTTGTTGACTACCTGAAATTCACATTTAGTTGGATGTTTTTATCTGCTAAATCTGGCAGCCTAAGTCAGGTATTGCTCAGAAGGTTGCACAAGTGGAAAGAGCCACAGAAAGATGAAGAAATTTGCCCCTTCATTCCTAGAGGGGCTATTCAGAAGATGACTAATTACAAAGCATTAGTTTATTTACACTAAACGAATTATTTTAGTAAGATTCTTCATTGAAGAATAGCTTTGAGATTTGAAGTGGAAATTTACTTGACCATGTCTGCCAATGCTAAAAACAGTAGTAACACCTGAAAATCATCATGCCTAGCTTATGTGTGAAGAAACTGAGTCACAGAGAAGGAGGCATATTCTTAGAGGTCATTCAACCATGCAGAAGCAGAACTGGAATTGCAAACCCAAGCAGCTCACTTCCAGCAACCAAGCCCTTCACCACTATGCCATGCTGCCTTCCACTTAAAACTACAAAAGTAGTAAACTTTCACATCAATTTTCCTACATAATCTGCCTGTCAACAAACTGGAAACCCCCGAGCTTTGGCAGGCGACACTGAGTAGGCCTCATACCTCAGGATCCAGGCCACCTACCATTCTTCCATCTCTCCCGTGGGGCTTCCCATGGAAGCTTCCTGCCTCTTGCTTTCCTTCCCTCTTTAGAGCTGTCCTTCACTACTGCATCTTTGAGAGTTTTCTCCCTGCAATAAGGGTGCTTCCTCTTCCTGCCCTTTCTCAATGTATGGGTCCCTTAGGTTAAGAGATCACTGAGAATTCTGCAGAGATGGAATGACAAAAAGGAAAGGTCAGAGTCACATAAACAGGTTGGATAACCCTATAGAGACCCTGGGGCACTCATTTGGTCTCTGAGTCCTCTCAGCCATCACCAGAATTGCCCAGATGTTTCTCTCAAGGCTGGGAGCCTAGAAGGTGTTGGGTGTGAGACCAGGATGCTCTGCCCACGGCTCGAAGAGGAATCAGCCTGACACTGCTGGCTGATCTCATGCCCCAAAGATTCCGCCAGGGTCTTGGCCAGCTGTGTCTTTGCAGGATTTCTCCCCTCCCTCTCTTATGAAATCTGTCTGTCAACTAACTGGAAACTCCCAAGCCTTAGTGAGGGGACACCGCATGGACCTGAGATATTTTTCTTCCCTCTTTTTTTTTTTTTTTTGAGACGGAGTTTCGCTCTTGTTACCCAGGCTGGAGTGCAATGGCGCGATCTCGGCTCACCGCAACCTCCGCCTCCTGGGTTCAGGCAATTCTCCTGCCTCAGCCTTCTGAGTAGCTGGGATTACAGGCACGCGCAACCGTGCCCAGCTAATTTTTTGTATTTTTAGTAGAGACGGGGTTTCACCATGTTGACCAGGATGGTCTCGATCTGTTGACCTCGTGATCCACCCGCCTCGGCCTCCCAAAGTGCTGGGATTACAGGCTTTCTTTCCTCTTTGAACCCCACTAGGGAAGAGACATGTTTCCCTAGAACTTCAGAAGATTCTCAACTGAACTGCCGACATTTTCACTACCTTTCCTGGGAGTCTCTCCAACATCAAGTCCTGAACACCCTACCCTCAAGGTTCTCTTTTTGTTTTTAATGTTGACTTCACCTATTTTAGATTTTGTTAGATTCATTAAAAGTGAAATTCCAGGAGAAAAGGCTATGCACATTTGACATATGTGATTCTGAGAGATACTACTAAAAATCACTCTCCAAAACTTTACATCAAATTAAAATCAATAAGCTGCATATAAGTGCTGTTTCTATAGTTTCCAATATTCAATACTATTGTTTTTCTCAATGGATCCTGTTATGAATTGAATTGTGTCCCCCTAGAAAGATATGTTGAAACCCTAACCCCCTATACCTTAGAATGTGACCTTATTTGGAAATAGGGTCTTCATAGAGGTAATGAAGTTAAAATGAGATCCTTAGGGTAGATCTAACCCATTAAGATTGTTATCCTTATAGAAAGGGCAAATTTGGACACAGGGACAGACATGAACATGGGGAGAATGCCATTGAACATGACGGTAAGGATTACAGTGATGTTCCTACAAGTCAAAGAGCACCAAAGATTGCCAGAAAGTCCCCAGAAACTACAGGAGAAGTAAAGTACAGATTCCCCTCACAGCCGTCGGAAAGAACCAACGCAGCCTACACCTTGATCTTGTACTTCTAGATCCTGAAACTGGGAGATGAATAAATTTCTGTTGTTTAGAACAGTTTGTGATACATTGTTACAGCAGGCCTAGAATATTGTGACAGATGCTAAGTACAGTAATTCCTTGCTGTAAATTTATTTCCTTCATGATTTTTGTTTCTTTTTTTATTGTGCTTTAGGTTCTGGGGTACCTGTGCAGATCATGCAGGATTATTGTATAGGTATACACATGGCAATGTGGTTTGCTGCCTCCATCCCCCCATCACCTACATCTGGCATTTCTCCCCATATTATGCCTCCCGGACCTCCCCATCTGCCTGCTGTCCCTCCCTTGGCCTCCGCCAACAGACCCCAGTG